GGTGACGGACGGCGCGTAGGTAGTGCGCGATCCGAAGGCCAAGGGAGTGTACCTCGCCAACCTCAGCAACAAGGACAGCACCACAGCAACGGCAACCCTATTAAGAAACGTGTTGGTCAAGGTAACAGCCCTAAACAGCAGAGGCAATCTCAAACCACTGGTCAGCAACGTCAAGGTTTGATGCAAAATCACAACGCTCAAGCTAACGCAAGCGAGAAGACAATCACCTGCTGGAACTGCGGAGAGCCAGGCCTCAAGAGTTTGCAGTGTAAGAAGCCAAAGAAACAGCAGCAGGCCTCGGTTCACCAAGCCCAGCGCCTAGAACGCGATGCCGACGAAAGTGACGATGAGAGCGCGGAGCTATGGATGGCAAATGAGCATGGAGAAACGACATCAACAAACTGGCCGGAGGACTCAGGGGAAGTCACACCACATGTGCTCCACGAGCACTCCACTGTTCGGCACTTCACCATCTGACTTGACCATCAGAGTGGCAAATGGTGGCCTGCTCCACGCTAACGTTAAAGGAAGCTGTATTATCCGCGCAAGCAATGGTCATACTACGCGATCCGTTCTTTTACACGAAGTACACCAAGTTCCAGGTCTTAACCGCAACTTGATCTCAGTCACTGACCTCGGGGAACACGGGATCACTACTTCGTTTGGAGCATCAGCGTGTACGCTGACGAATCAACGTGGTGAGATAGTCGCCATTGCTAAACGCCAAGGTAAAATGTGGATCCTGAACGGCGAGACAGCACGCACGGATGATAACGCAGCAGTGATGTTTGCGCAGATGACGAAGGCAACCTTACAGCACTGGCATGAACGTCTAGGGCACGTCAATTTCCAGGACCTCCTAAGGATGTACAACCACAGTTTGACGGATGACATGGATGTCGTCTCAAAGAAGCTTAAGTTCTGCCTGTCCTGTGCACAAGCAAAGCAAACCAAGTCGAAGCAACCTACAGTAGATACATCTACATCCGCACCCACCGACCAACTTGGAGCAGTTATCGGCGTAGACCTGAAGACAGATATTCAACCGGACAGGAACGGGAACAAGCACATGCTTACAATTGTGGACTACGCATCGAGCTACAACAGAGTCTTCTTGCTGCAGACAAAGGATGAAGCGGCAAAACACCTCATGAACTTCATACCCGAATTTGAGCGCCAGTTTGGAGTCACAGTAAAGACGATCAGGTCGGACGGTGGTGGAGAGTTTCGAAGTCACGAGGTCACTAAATACTGCAGTCGACACGGAATCGTTCATCAAGAAACTCTTCCGAATAAATCTGCGTCAAATGGAAAGGTCGAGCGCATGCACAGGACATTGATGAACTTAGGCCGTGCCATGGTCTGGGCGTCCGGTCTTCCAGAACGATACTGGGGAGATGCCGTCAAGTATGCCTCATACATACGCAACCGACTTCCAACAAGAGCAAACGCAGATTACAAAGCACCTTTGGACGTACTCACTGGTAAGCCGCCAAAAGTAGGCCACATATTGAAGTTTGGTTCTACATGCACAACGCACGTCTCGCACAAGAAGGCCGCCTCAGTCAAGCGCCGAGCGGAGAAAGCAGTAGTCATCGGGATCTCAGAGAACCAGAAGGGTTATCGTCTTCTTCTGCCTCGTACTCGTAAGATTATCGCTAGCTCCCGACGTCCAGAACATCGAGAAGCTGGGGCATCCGCGAAAAAGAGACCCAAGAAGCACTGAGCCAACTCAGCAATGAAGAAGAACAAACACCGCCTGAAGAAGAGCCTGCAGAAGAATCCGTAACAGAACAAACAAGCAGTGCCACAGGGTTGGTTGAGATCTCCACTCCAAATAGTACGTCAAAGTAAAAGCGTAAGAAACGCGCTATCAACCTCAGTGAAACCTCAGACAGCGGCGAAGACGAGTACCACGGGCACCCTATTAGTGCCGGTGCAATTCGCCGTGTTTTCGGCTCACGTAAAAAGACGAAACGTCAAAGCGACTTCTCGCTACCTCAATTACTCATCAAAGAATTCGCAGGATCAGCAACACTTTTGTTGACAGCAGCTACGCCACCTATGGTAACCCCACGTAATCTCGACGAAGCAATGCGGACTCCAGAATGGCCTCAGTGGAAAGAGGCATCGAGAAGAAGCTAAAGGAACTTCAATCAAATGGTACATGGAAGTCATCAAGTGTCCTGCCGGAGCAAACGTCGTGTCGTCAAAATGGGTGTTTCGTATCAAGTTTAACTCACGTGGAGAGCTGGAACGGTTCAAGGCACGATTGGTAGCTAGAGGATTTACACAGCGTTTTGGTATCGATTTCGAAGAGACTTATTCACCGGTGCTGAAAATCACAAGCTTGCGATTCCTCGCGGCACTTGCAGCCCAGTGGAAACGAAGACTTCGTCAAGGAGACGTTCCAAATGCTTACGTTAAGGCTAAGTTGGATCGGCCAATCCTCATGAGACCCCCGAAAGGTACGCCGTGCACAAGAGACACAGCGTGGCTGCTACTGAAAGGCCTGTACGGCCTCAAGCAAAGCGGATTATTGTGGAACAAGGAGATAAATGCATTTCTTCTATCGCTGCAATTCCGCAGAAGTAAGCTGGATCCATGCTTATACACTCGTCGCCGAAATGGGAAGCTCACTGTTCTCGGACTTTACGTTGACGACGTGATTATCGTTAGTGAAGACGATGCTGACAGCGATGAAGTCATGCTATTACTGGGCCAGAAATTCGACATCAAGGACATGGGAGATGCAGAAAAATGCCTCGGGATTTGTAACAAGCGCAATGATGAAGGCATTTTCCTACACCAAAGCGACACCATTGAGGAATTGCTGGCAAATATGGAAATGGCATCATGCAGACCGGTACACACACCCATGGATACGACGAGATCATTTGACGACAATGAGATGATGACGAATACGGGGTTGATGAGGAAGGCAATTGGATCACTGTTGTGGATCTCGAACTGTACACGACCGGATATAACCGCTGCAGTCAATTACTTGGCAAGATTTATATCTCGGCCTCGACAAAGTCACTGGACGGGAGTCAAGAGAATTTTGCGCTACCTTCGTGGCACTTCATCATTTGGACTATTCCTTAAGAGTGGGCAAGGCGCAGGCTGCAAATGGCGCGCGACAGTTTACACGGACGCCGACTGGGCAGGAGACTCATCGGATGCAAAGTCAGTATCAGGAGCAGTTCTTATGCTTAATGGTGCCGTTATCGCATGGGCTTCTAAGCAGCAGACGTCTGTAGCTCTCTCCACGATGGAGGCCGAGTACGTCGCAGCAGCAGTAGCCATGAAGGAGGCTATCTGGGTGAAACAACTTCTCGTCGAAATTGGATTATGGACCAAGGACAAGACAATCGTACTTCAGGTGGATAACCAGTCAGCGATTAAATCGATGAAGAATGAGATAATTAGCGCTCGGAGCAAGCACATAAATATCCGGTATCACTTTATCCGGGATGTGATTCAGCGAGGGGATGCAATGGTGCAGTATTGCCCAACTCAGAAGCAACTTGCTGATATTTTGACGAAGCCACTACAGCGTGTGGCATTTCAGCGACTTCGGGAGCAACTACGGGTGGGTCAACTGGGCAAAACTTCGAGGGAGGCTGTTGGAATTTTTAAAGTCAACCCGGACGCTTCACCAGAACGAGGCGTTGAAGTTGTCTAAGCCGCTGCCAGACTCAGGTCGTAACGCTCTCGCCATCGGAAGCGAGGAGTTCGACAAAATAAGATGGTCATTAAGATGTCGATCGTGATGACTGTGGTGATGGGACCAAGAGTTCTCTGGCGTTACCGGAGATCGACAGCAGTGCGAAGTGGACGAAGCAAGCGTGAAGAACTGGAGATCTACAAGAACGAAGGAGAACTCAATGCATTTGCAGATTACAGAACGATGACGTCAGATGGAAAGGAAGACGCATCGTTCCTATATGTAAGGTGATGTCGCAATGGTGCTTGTCAGGTAAGTACGCAGGAGTAGCGAGATGTAGTGCCGGCGATGAAGCTAACGATTCAATTCACTTTCAATTTTAACATCAACTGCTCACTTGGTCTTCTATCTACGGCAGGAAATTCCCCGCGCGTTTCTGGAGCTGCAAAACGCTTTGCTTTGGAGCGCTGGGTGGGTGCAGGCGAGCCCTGAATATGCTTATCCAGAGTCAAGCTCGAATGATTCTACCCAGTACGTGCAAGTGTACGTCCATTGCGGCCAGACAATGAGCGACATCTTCCTTTCATCCCAGATATTTGAATCGACGGCATGCGAGCTCACCGTCAAGAACTGCAAAGCAACGTCATCAGCTTCACAGAGTCGACGTGTGATCCAAGTAACGTTGAAGCCAGAACAGCTTGTGCCATCAACCCTGAGCGTGGATCTAGGGATTTTTATCTTGAGCAGAGAAATGGCCCAATCTGGTCCATAGATGGTCAGATTGACGAGGACTTCGACCCCCAATTGTTCCAGTTTAGCAATAGTGACAGCAGCACGACACTCTACATGCTGGCACAGAAGAGCTCCTGGTCTATGGACGACGACACGTGCCCTAACGGTGCGCAGTTCATAGTTCCGTGTCGACAGGTATCTGTTGACGACAATACCTGGTGCGAGCCTGCAATCGAGGAAGATGTCCGAACATGGGTGAAAACTGGAGAGCTTGCAATTAGTGATGATGCAACTGATTCAACGGGAACAAATGATGCAACAGCGAGTTCAGAAGGACCCAGCAACTCTGCTATTGTCGGGATTGTATTTTCCATCGTTGCAGTGGCTTTAGCTGTGGGTAATGTATTAATTTATCGAAGACGTCTTTTAAGGAGACAAGATCAAGAGCTTAAAGGGCAGACTGGGATGTGGGAAGAGCGATCTCATCACTGCAAACCGCATTCCGCGTGAGAAAGTGCGCGCCTTGAAGCTCATCAGCCGCGGTGCGTTCGGTGAGGTGTATGCTGGCATCTACAACAACAACCACGTCGCAATCAAGATGCTGCTTCCGAGTACTCGCCGCGATATTCACCTCGTGAACGAGTTTCTGGCTGAAGCAAAATTAACAGCAAGCATGAAGCACCCTCGAATTGTAACGTGTATTGGCGGCGCGTGGGATTCTCTCTCTGATTTGTGTGTGGTTCTGGAGTTCATGGAAGGCGGTGATCTGCGTACACTACTCGAGAGCTACGAGAAATCAAGTCACCCGGTCGGATTTGACCGTGAAAAAGTGACTATCGCATTGCACGTGTGTCATGCCCTCACATACTTGCATTCCTTGGAGCCTCCAGTGATCCATCGTGACTTAATGTCCAGAAATATTTTATTAAACGACTTACACAAAGCCAAATTAACAGATTTTGGGATTTCAAGAGAACGACTACCGGTAGACCGGAGAGGAAATACCATCGGTCAGTAGAAAACTACTGATCTGTCCCCAACGCGGCGTAGAAAAGACGGCAATCAGTAGAAAATGATAAAGTTCGATCCGTACCTAACTCTAATCAAAGCTACATTTCTGCTGCCTTCAGCAAAACCGCTTTTGCCCTAAGCGTACCATGCCTCGAAAGCCGCCTCCGAATTATGGGAGTTCTCCCTTCGTGGTAGATCTTTCTGACATCGCTACAGCTATAAGCATGGGTGTTTTGAGGGAGGACGCAAAAGTTGATACCTCAGACCGCTCCAGCCAAAAGTATGGGGGAGTATACGCGACGCGAACCAATATTGCAGACACTGAGTTTCCAACACAAATAAGGAAACTAACGACACAAACAATTGCAATCGTTGACTGCTGATTAATAATTAAGGTATTTCTTTCCAATAGATTATCTTACTGATCCTCACTCTCAATAAATATCAGCAGCAAACGGACTGGGGAGTCAATCTCTGCGAGTAGATAGAACTCTACTAACGTACCCTGAGAGTAACCAGTTGGATACGCTGTGTACCCAGCTACTTCAACGTCAATATGTTATTTCGGTGTACCATTTTTTAGCTGCTCTAAACGCCTTTATTTATATGGTTGTTTTTGTGGAGTGCACTTCCGTGGCATTCGCCATTTTGGTCGATGCCTCCGCTCAACCCCCGACAGCGTCACGCCCGAACGATCCAGCGCCGTCTGGACGGCTTCTTTTGGCAGCTTCGTCTAAGCAGAGAAGTTAGCATACCGAACGAAGTCGACCGAGAGCTGGACGCCGAGCGTGCATCGTCCATAGGTGGTGGGTTACGTGACGTTGTCAGTAGAGGAGGAGGTCTTTTTGCCGGAGTCAGAGACTGATAGACCAAACGAGGCAGGACTAAGAGAATATGCAAATTCGAACTTAACACCAAACGAGGCAGGACTAAGAGAAAATGCAAATGCGAACTTAACAGCCCTCCAGTAGCTGTGAAATCAGTAGTTGTGCAGGCAGCGCCGCGTTGGGGACAGATCAGTAGTTTTCTACTGACCGATGGTATTTTTTCTAGACCGGACAATGACGGCTGGGGTTGGAACTTCGCTGTGGATGGCTCCCGAGGTGATGATAGGTGAAACATACGATGATAAAGCGAATATGTTCTCGTTTGGCGTTGTGCTAAGTGAACTGGACACCCACACTTTACCACACGCTCCGGCCAGACAGGAGATGCAGAACTCGCATGGATGTTGGGAGTTGTGTCTCTTAGACACGCCCCGCGAAGTAACAAACAAGCTCCTTGTTTACAAAGGGAAAATATGAAGACTGAATTACTTTGTGTCAGCTGCTCTGCTTCCTGAGCATTGACCAACACTCACGGGCCTTTGCCCTCTCTCATATAACGATCTGGTTTCTTTGCTGCTCCAGCTTTCTTCAATCTGCGCCAGGCCTCGATGCACAATCCAACACGCCCTTCTCGAAGATCGGTCTTCGATGTCGAATACTGGTCTTCGACTACTTTTCTGCTCCAATGCCTGCAATCAGCAACAATCCTTTCAGTCGCTTCTTGTCCAGAGGCTTGGTGAACGTGTCGGCAGGGTTTGTTTCCCCCCTCACCTTATGCAACTCCACAGTGCCTTTTTGCACTTGCTCTCGTACGTAATGCCACCGTAATTCAATGTGGCGCGTACGTCTGCTGTAGGTAGGATTAGTTGCCATCACGTGAGCAGCTTGACTGTCAATTCCTACACGCAATTTCACATCGTGCTGCGGTAACATCTCTTGCAAAACATTTTTCCCAGCAACTGCCTCCATTGTGGCTTCACACGCTGCAATGTACTCCGCCTCCGCGGTCGACAAAGCGATGACGGATTGTCTTCGTGACATCCATGCTACAGCTCCGCCTGCCAGCGTAAACACGAAACCAGTAGTGCTCTTCCTTTGATCTGGGTCATTAGCCCAATCACTGTCACAGTAACCCTGCAACACCAACTCCTTCGAGTTGTTCTTCTTTTTCTCGTACTTGTGTAGTAGGTCGTGGAAGTAACACACAACTGGGGGAGCTGGCACTCCCTAAAGCTTCTGCCTAGTGTATTGCTCTCCACTAAGCAAGTTCTAGACTGACTAACTGACTCTTTGTCTGTACTCTATGTATACATACTATGTATACTTGGCAATACATACCCTGTATATATTGCCAGCTCGGGCCGGCAATACTGAACTTCAATCACTCGATGGTTGGCAGCAGCAACCCTGCCACTGCCAATCCGAAGATCAGTACTGCCGCCCACTGTAGTGGCTGGATGAGGCTACATGCCCCTAGCCCACTACAACTTGATTCCATAATCCAAAGTCCCGGCCAAGTAGCGCAGCACTCTCTTTACCGTTCCAATATGCTTCGCCGATGGGTTCGCTACGAAGCGACTCAGTTGGCCTAATGAAATAAGCCAAGTCCTGTCTGGTACTTGTAGCCAGGTACATGAGCATACCAATGGCTTCACGGTACGGAAAGCTGCCGTCTGCACTCTCCTTCTCTCCAAGAGGTGTGAGCCGTGAATTCACTTCCATTGGATTTCCTACTGCATGTGCGTTTTCAAATCCCAGCTTGCCAAGAATCTCTCTTGCGTACTTGCCTTGACTGATCATAATGTACTCTGGCGTGTGAGTCACTTCCACACCTAAGTACTGTGTTAACAGCCCTTGGTCCTTGAGACCGTACGTGTTGTCCAAGTCCATGAACAACTGATCTTTGTACTCCTTGCTGTTTGTTGCAACCAAGATATCATCGACGTATACTAGCACGTATACCATCGTGCCACCATCAAACAGGTAGTACAGGCACGGCTCCGTCAACGATCTTTGGTATCCACGCTGAATGAACCAATCATTGAGTTCTGAATTCCATTCTCGACCCGATTGTCTTAATCCATACAAAGCCTTGAGTACCACGTAAGAATGGCCACTCACTCTGCACGGATATCCGTTGATGGAGTGTAGATATTGTCGTATGCCTAGCCATGCATTGAGGTAAGCGGTATTCACGTCTCCTCCGTATACCTCTAATCCCAGTAATGCCGCCAGTCCCAACAACAGTCTAAACGAAGCCATTCTTGCCACAGGGGCAAACGTTTCCTTGAAGTCAATGCCTGGTCGCTGCTGATTCCCCAACGCCACTTTCCGAGCCTTGAATCTTATCACGTAACCCTGATGATCCGACCTCAAGGCATAGACCCACATTGTACTCACAGGCTTCGCATCTTCGGGCATGTCCCCATCCGGTATTTCTTGGATGACCTTCTTTGCCTTCAGTGCAGCGATCTCTACCATCTCTGCTTCCATCCAATAGTTAGCAAACCTGGATCGCAGTGCCTCACGTCTGTTACGAGGAATCTTCACCTCACAAGCACAAATAGGCCGGCCATGCTCATCCAGAACCCGTGAAGTCGCTGCATTCATCACAAAGTCATCAAAGCGTCGAGGTTGACGCCTTTCTTGTACCTCTCGAAGTCCTGTTCGAGTTCTCTTGGTATCTGGCTTTGCGGCCTCGTGTTCCACACGAGCCTCTTCCGACTGAGTTTTATCGCGGTGGGTACGCTTTCCAGTTTCTCGAATGACAACTGGATCAAGACAAACACTAGCGTCCATCTTCTGCGCGTTATTATTGTCCACAACCGCACTTTGATGTTCATCAGTACTCTCTGGGTCTTCTTTAAGCCCCACACCACTCGACGAGTTGTTATTCTCCATTGAGATAGTCTTCTCATCAAATTAGAACACACTTGCTACAGTAATGTCGTCGTCTGTCGGTAATCCTGTGTCGTCGTCATCATCCACCTCATTACCATCCAGCGATGGGCCCCGTGTTTTCACCACAGACTCAACGTCAGCACCATCATTTCGCGTAGATGATTCCGACTGCTTGCCACCAACACATAGATTTCCTGAACTACTTGCCTCAATCTCGCTCCCTGGAATGCTAGTAGTAAGATTACATGCGCTCGAAGCTGCATCAGTGAGTGATACTCCGCCACGACCATCACTCTCGTGTAGATCCGCTCTACCGAGCTCTCTCGTGCTTTCAATCTCATCTGGTCGACTATTTAGAGCATTTGAGACAGCATCTGCCAGCTGAACGCCCTTCTCGAGCTCACTGTTAGCCGCTACATCCACCTCGCCTCCCACGAGTCCAATAGACAACTCAGAATTTGGCTCGCTAACCAGCTCCATTGTCTTGGATGTAGCCATTTCGTGGTTCAAACTGTTGTCATAGTCCACATCCTGGTCATCACGTCGGGTAAAGTGCAGTGACTCGAGGTCCTCCTCATCTACAGCACCTTCGTGACGGTCTTTGTAAACTACATCTTCAGCAACCCGTAGATCAGATACAAACCTGGCGGTGTGCTCATCAGGAAAGTAAACTTTGCAGCCTACCACGTCCTCTTCGTAACCGAGTAGAAAGCCAATCTTGGCGTTGTTATCATGCTTGCGTCTTCCAGACGTCACAGGAACATGAACATATGCCAGAGATCCAAACTTCCTAATGTGATGCACGTCAGGTTTCATTCCAAATATCATCTCATAAGGAATTCCTTGAGTGCCACGGTTGTATACCCTATTCTTGACGTATACAGCATTTCGTAGTGCTTCCGGCCATAGACTCCGAGGAAAGCCTGCATGTACCATCGTGGTTTTCATCATGTCCACCAATGACTGATGCGTTCGTTCGCACAAGTTCAATTGAGAACGTTTTGGACCCACTCGGATGTGCTCAATTCCTCTCCGTGCGTACCAGTTTTCCATACCTTTGTTGATGAACTCCCCACCTTTGTCTGTCAGTACTTGCTTCACTTTGCAGACAGTCCCGTTCGCATTTCGTCCTGCTTGACGCTCGGCCCAGAGTATGTACTGTTGCAAGTGCTTGTTTACAACTGAACTCTCTTTACTAGTCAACAGAAACACTCTCACGAATCTGGAGTATCCATCCATAACCACTAGTACGGCTTCATACCGAGTCCGATTATCTTTACTTGGAATGAGAAGGTCAGCGTACACAATTTGATTCGGCCACTTTGTTGCCCTGTCCATCTTCTTGCGATGAGCCTTCTTCTTTTGCTTCCCCACATGACATGCGTCACAGATCTGCTGGTGACGCTGAGTCAACATCATGCCTCTCACTAATCCCCGGTCTACCATCGTCTTCAGATATTGTGGACAAGTATGACACATACGCTCGTGCCACAACGCCAAAGTGCCAACCCCTCGGCTATAGTAAAATTTACCATTGGACGCCGATTAACAGGCTCTTTCACGCTTGTTTGACCTGGATGTAGTCCCAGAAACCCCCAAGTTGCTTCCTGAGGCTTCGCTACTGCTACTGATTTTCCTTCCCAAAGAATAGTAAAGTCCTGAGTATCATGATTGAACGTAAAGTCAAACCCTTGTTCATGAGCAAGTCCAGGAGAGAAGAGCCCGAATTCAGCTCCGGGTATGTAGAAAACATCATCCAGACACATCACTGTCTGCTCTCCATTCACCTCAGTAGTTAAGGCAACAGTCCCCATCCCAGCGATACGAGCTGCAATGTTTGGGAAATACCTCGAATGCTGCGTAGTTGTGACGCGTCCTCAGTGTAGCTCACAAAATACGAGCGATCTCCGACCACGTGAGAGTTCGAAGCTGTGTCAAAATACCACCAACCGCTAAAGTTTTCATCGACAGGTACTTGATCATTAACTTCCAGAAGCTTCTCATCTACTCCTGTTCCCTGAGCATCGGTTTAGAGTCTCGTGCAGATTCTCGTGCAGAGTCTCGTGCTCATGATGAGCCTCAGCCGTTATCAATCCCGTCACTATCCCCTGATCTGCAGGTTCATGCAGTATCTGTGACAGTCCATTTCCTTCTTGGCTGAGTGTCAGATTTCCTTGTGGTTTCCGCTTGGGTTCACTGTTACTCCCAGCACCACTCTTGTTTTCTTGACTGATCGTCAATTTTCCCGCGTTTTCGCTTGGCTTCTCTGTCTCCAGCACCGCTGTTCTTCTCTTCACGTTCCGGACACTTGGCCTTAATATGGCTATCACTCCCGCAGACAAAGCACAGCCTGGCTTTTCGCTGTTTACTTGACTTGTTCTGCTGATTACCATTTCCGCCTTTTTCCGGATCACCACTTTTATCACCTCCGCCTTTATGCCCTCCTTGCTTTCCTTGACGCTTGCCTCTGAATTCCTTCTGTCGAGCAGCGGCTGCAAGAATTAATTCACGAACCCGTACCGGTGTATACACACTTGGGTCCGCGCCATAGCGGATCGAAGATTTCAGACATTCAAACTCGGTCAAATCCGGCAAACTTTCCAACAACATATCCACCATTGTACTGTCTTCAATAGTATGCTGTAAGCCTACCAACTCCGATTTGATGCTGAACATCTTGCAAAGATGGAGATTTGCATCTCCTCCAGAAGCGAGCTTCTTATCCCAGAGATCATTCTCCAAGCGACGAATCGTGTAGGCCTTGATAGCTTCATTCTGCTTTCCTTCAAACAGATTACAGAGCTCTGCCCACATTTCCGATCCGGTCTCCTTGTCGCGAATCTGCTGAAGAATTTCCGGCGGAACAGACGTACCAATCATCCGCATGATCTTGATTTGCTTCTTGTTGAGCTTCTCCTGGTCCTCTGCACTCGCTGTGGAGAGCATGTCCTTGGTTAAAGTTCCATCAGCAATGTCCTTCAAGTCATCCTCCTTGAAGACGTTCATCATGACCCATTTGTATGTCTGCCAATCCTTGCCTTGCCAATTCTTCGGCACCCCTTCGCTGGTGTACTTCATCGGCTTACTCATGCCTGCGCTGCCACCACTTGGGCTCATAACCCTGTTGGGAGTTGTGGCTCTTAGACACGCCCCGCGAAGTAACAAACAAGCTCCTTGTTTACAAAGGGGAAATATGAATACTGAATTACTTTGTGTCAGTTGCTCTGCTTCCTGAGCATTGACCAACACTCACGGGCCTTTGCCCTCTCTCATATAACGATCTGGTTTCTTTGCTGTTCCAGCTTTCTTCAATCTGCGCCAGGCCTCGATGCACAATCCAACACTGGACACCCACACTTTACCATACGCTCAGGCCAGACAGGAGATGCAGAACTCGCATGGACGGCAAATGACGGACGCCACTCTACTGCAAAGGGTGGCCCTGGGAGCTGCAACGGTAGTGTTTTCCGATGCTGGTCCAAAGTCTATGGCGGATCTTGGCTGTGCTTGCGTGTCGGTTGACCCGACCATGAGTTTTCAAGCTTCAGATTATCCTGTCGAAAGAGATGATGTGAAAACAGTCCCCAGACTATTATAATAATAAAGTTTTTTTTTTAAATGTATTTTGTTGCTCAACCCAAGATTCACCTCATCTCGCAATCAATTCCTTTATTCTGCAACTCGAAAGATTCCTTACAAACTTCTAGTCAAACAAACGCTATGATGGAGGCTGAAGTAGCGCTACCGCAGCTGGATGAGGCCATTGCGTACCTTCAGGTCGAAGTCGCCGCCCTCCGCGCTGGGGAAAAGGACGCCAACCTCCCAGCACTCGCAGTAGCCGTCGCAGCAGGCGAGGCGCCGCTCCCAGAGCCTCGATTCGCGCCGCTATTAGCAGTCTGGACGCCTGCAGCATTCGCCATCTCCACAGAGTTGGCGGCGCTCGTTGACCAGTTCGAGGCCGCCAGAAGGCGAGAGGAGGAGGCAGCACGCAAAAAAGAAGACGAGGACGTGAAGATACCCGTTCATTCGGCGCTACAGCGAGTGCGAGGCCAGAGGAGGAGACCCCGGACGAGACCCAGGAGGAGGTTCGAGGATCCAGACGAGGGCGACGCCTCGCAGTCTGCAAGTGATGGGACGCCCACGCCCTCACCTAGAGCAGATGTTGCAGCTGTGACTGTCACTGTGAATGAAAAGAAGAAAGCGGAAGAGAAACAAGTGGGAGAAGGAGCACGAGAAAGGTCGAGAAAGAGAAAGCCTGATTGTGGTGGATGGGAAGAGACACTTCGCTGAAGGCCAAGCGGTGTGGAAAATGACTGAA